CCTTAGTGCTTACGTCCACAAGGTAGCCAGTTATAAGTTGAGTTAGTTTACCACATGGCTGAATAGTCCATCGTGCAAATATTGATCGTTCAGAGGGAGTGATGACGTCAATACGTGGTGCTTCTATGAAATTAACAACATGAAATCATCGATATGGCGATTTATATGGGTAATACCGCTGAAATCAACCTACCTTGATTGACGAAAAACACGTTTACTCTCATCGTTTTACGCTTGCGATAATCTACAGGAACAAATCTAATGAACCGTGCTTCTTGGATTGTATTTAAATCATGACGAATTGCAATGTTGGCAGTCATCCATTGGTCATTATAGGTGCACCAGTACTGCTTGGTTTTACCCCATGCATCTTTATATTTACACTACAAAAACAAAAGTCAAATTATTACGCTTGTTATAATGCATTTTTTGACTTAAAACCAAACTTGAAAGTCTTTATTCGTACTCGTTCCCAGTCTTCTTATGAATTTCGAAAGCCTATATATTATATTAGATATTTTAAAAAGTAGAATAAAATAAGACAAAACACCAACTTTATAACAATATTGCCAACAATATTAGATATAAATTAACAATACGACGTTACCAAGTAATAATTCTTTAAAGTGACATTGTATTCAGTCCATTGCGTTGAATTTGTTTCTTGTTTAAAACGAAGTTTAAATGTGTTTATCCATTCATATAATCCGGGTTTTCCATTTCCTTGTGTTGCTACAGCAGTGATGGCTCGTACRGCACCAAGGTCCAGCTGTAAGTAATCCTCAGGGTTATTATTATCACGTGGTGACCATCCAAATGGGCTATACAGTCTTGCATTGTGTGGAACGTATCGCCTGTACCAGAAAGTATCTTCATCTTCATCATACAAGAACGAAGAGGCTGTATAGGCACTGTTAGGAATGATTAGACGATTCTCACCAACAAGAGATCTCTCGACGCATCCTATGAAGATAGATGATATTATAAGATCAATTGTGGAGATCCCTCTATATGCAATTAGCAATTAACGATCTGATGTCTTATAATTATTCACTTAGGGTAGTGAGCCTGATCATGCAAGTGGTTGCTGTAGTGCAATCATTAACTTGATTTTATATTATAGCTCAATTCTAACACGCGCGCTGATTGACGGTAACGTTCTATTTCACTTCGTTCAAACAAACGTAAAATATTTATCTTCTATATTTCGAATATAAGTCAGAGGAGATATCATTAGTATCCCTTTATGCTTTGCGCGCGTGGTTTGTTGACAAAATGTCTGCTATTTCCGGTGATATGCCTGGTAGTAAGTTTCCGGTCCAGAAAGTTCTCTTTTTAGCATCTTAACAAGGGAACTTCGGAAAATATTTGCTGTCTGATTGATTTTCTTT